GGTATGCGGGAGACGCGGACCGGCCTGGAACTTTCCGGTTATAATAAGGTACTAGGGGTGTCCACTCTGAAAAAACATCGATGTATTTTTTGATTCGATACATCGCAACTATACATCGATGTCATTCGATGTATCGGATGAAAACATCAATGTATTTTAAACATCGATTACTTTTTCTGAAATTTTATTACAAAACTCAACTTATGTGTAAAGTGACCCATCTCAAAAGAGGCCATCTTTTCATAGTAAAAAAAATTACAATTGAAGTTTATGAAAAGACCTTAATCCATAATTTTATTATAGTTTATATATTAATCTTTCATAAAATAATAGAATTAACTCCTTTCATAATGAGTAGGTAAAACTAAATACAAGTAAAAGTCATGTGTCAGAAAAATCTGTATTATATTTTTACAAAAGATCATATAAAAAAACGCTAAATAACCCGCAAAATATTTGCTAAGTCTGTCAAAAGGATATTAGAAATATACTTCAATCTTAATTTCTTTCACAAAACTAAAGGTTATTAAATGTTTATAAACATTGAAACTCGTAGTTATTTTTTTATTGTCACTGCACTGACTCTTGCGCAGTGCTGCCAACATCGGGTCCATATCAGAGAATTAAGAATAATGATGCTTTCATAATAGTAATAAGTAAAATTTTAGTGGTCAAACTTAAGTTTTTTTACTGAGGTCAAATCAAAGAGGATATTATCACTACGTGGTCAAACTCTATTACCAATTCGATGTTTCTTTAAAACATCGATGCATCGAGTATATTGAAAGCTTTTCAAAACATCGGATCGATTCGATGTTTTTCATTGCTAACATCGATGTTTTCGATGCATCGATGTATATCGAATATCCCTATAAGGTACTCTGTGCCTGGAACCTGCTCGCCTGAATCGCCTCGCATACAACTCCACGTCACTCGTCCTTCCGTCTTTTCCAATACTATTATTTGTTAATATCTCGTTAATTATTATCAGTATACGAATTGTATTTCTTCTACGGTGTTTCACTTCGCATCGCTCGCTATTTGTAGGGATAGTAACATTACATGTGTATCATCAGTATCAGTAATGCTATGCACAATATATTTGCAGCTGCACACCGGCACAGAATATATACACTACGCGAAAAGAAGCGACACTTAAGCATGTGTGCTCGTAAAATCGCCCGCCGCTATGTGTGGGTGTCTGGAGGTGCTCGGGGGCGTTGCGCGGCGCGCGGGACGTGGAGAGGGCAGTCGCCGACTGCCTCGACCGAAGGCATGGCAATAGCGAAATAGTAAAATAATAGCGTTGCACTGCATTGCAGTTGCACGCACAGACTGACTACGCTACGCAATCTTATTATTATTTAGATAATAATAAGATTTATAAAACGAATCGAAAAAGGAGAAAATATATAAAAGTTAGCAATTTGTTATAGTACCTACATTAAAAGAATAAAAATTGATTATAAAATCAAACCTATCCTTCATTATATCCTTGAATCAGTTTACATTTAATAACTTATTGGTGTCGATTCCAGCGTGATTCTCTAAACTTAAAACTAAATTTAACATCAGTCTGTCCTTTTCATTCTGTATAGAGAATGACAAGGATACACTGTTGTCAAATTTAAGTTTAGATTTAGAGAATCGTGCCAGAATCGACACCACTATGCATAAATATTCATTGGCACAAGTCTAAATTCCAAGTTCAACCCTAGCGCATACACGGTCCTGCTCAAGGTCACTGACGCTGGAACTCTCACGTACACAGAGTGTCACCGGCGCGGCGATATGGTTTAGTATATATATATTTGGATTTTGCAAGCATCGGTTGGTAGACACTTTAGACCTATTTCATCAGGTACCTTTTTCGACAGTGTGTGTTGTGAAATAAAAAAGTTATTGTAGTGACTAGTTTCTGAATTATCGTTTGTGGGTTAAGAAAGGTAAGTGTTTTGATTATTTAAGTACCTAAATTTTTCACCAGCAGAGCCGATATAAACCTATAAACATTGTCCTGCTTGATAAATATATTCTAAAAAATCCTTAAACTCGAGTGCACCGCAACTTATCGGTTTAGTTTAGTTTAGAGTCTTATGTCAGGTGTTAATAAATATTAAAATTTTCGCGCAACTTTCTAAATATGTTATTCGTAATCACAGCTGTAGTACTCGCAATGTAACTTCAATAGTAAAATGTCAAGGTAAAATTGCAATTTGTAATTTGTTTTCATTACGATGAAAACATGTGTTCATGTTATGTATTAGGTAGGTCAAGTACTTTATATTTTAGAATGCTCTATACGCATATAAAGGCATATCATTACGCTAAGAATGTTTAAGCAAGATGTTACCATAAGTTAATAGTCGTTGGTGTATCTATTCTATACACATATATCTACGATTTCAATTAATAAAATAAAAAAGGTAAATTTAAGAAATCAAAAAACCCGACTGCTTAATTATACTTCAAATAAAAACTGAAAAGAAAAAAACAAGTCCAGTAGTCTATAATTCTGTTAATAATGAACAAAGCTACTTTAACAGTCGGGACCCATTAGATATTCAAGAATACATAATATTTTTCAACAGTGGGTCCCGACTGTTAAAGTAGCTTTGTTCCTTATTAACAGAATTATAGACTACTGGACTTGTTTTTTTCTTTTCAGTTTTTATTTGAAGTATAATTAAACAGTCGGGTTTTTTGATTTTTTAAATTTACCTTTTTTATTTCACACTTTTTAGTTAGTTAGTATTTTAAGACGGTATATGTCTTAGTCTTGTTACTTCAGTAAGGGAATTAATATCGCGGGAATTATTAGGTACCTTGCGTCGGTCTAAACGATTGATTTATTAAGACATATAGAGACTTTACCAGCGGGGTCAAGGCTACAGATGGGCCCCAATTTTCGCAAAAATGTGTGAAGTTAAATCAAGTCGTTACATAAATATCTCTAATGTATGTAAATTTTATAGTAAACTAGCACTTACTCAAAAAATCATCTTTTGTTTATGTTTTTTTTAATAGTTTAGCAGTAAATATAAAATTCATTTACTTTTATTCGTCGACTATTTAAAATTGGCAGTGGCTGCATTGTCATGTCAATGCCGGACGTCTAAGATTGTGATATACACAAATGCAGTGTCAGTCCCTAGTCTCATAATTTGATATACCTACATAATTCACCCAATATGTAGATGCCAGAAGTTAACTTCAAATGTTTTAATCACCCTATATACAATACCAATCAATGACGTTTATGTTGCAGGTTGAAGAAAGCAGTAATTCCCGTTTGTTGTTTTGGACAATGGTGGCAACTGCCTTAGATCACTAAATTAAATAATTATGTAATCACCAAAGCAAAGTTTATAATATTTGATTAAACTAAAGGCGCATAATAAAATTTTCATAACGTTAGGTAGAGCACCATAGCAATCTCATTTATTATCAATTTATAGTTCTCTTTGTAGTTTTCTTTTAAAGCGTTCACATATAACAGTTCAAAGACTTTGTGATCGACCCTTTTTTATTGATAGTGTAAAGCTCGAATGAAGAGTACTCCCAGTAGTGCAATCATGGAAATTATTTTCCAATTTTTTTTGTTTAAAAAAATACCGAATAACGAATCACTGTTAAGCACAAATGCTAAGCAACTTTTACAAATATAATCAAATAAACCTATTACTTACTTTATTTTTAAATCTTTTTCATCAATTAAATACTTATCTTATCCTAACTATGTATACTAATATTATAAAGAGGCAAGATTTCTATGTTTGTAACAAATAATCTGTCAAACTACTGAACCGGTTTCAAATATTAATTCATCATAAGGTAGCTACATTATTTATTATTACATTTTTTCTTTATTTAAATACATTTTGTCCGAGTGACATAGGCTATATTTTATCCCGATAAATAAATTTCGCCCGTACAATGCCCGGGTGGATCACTAGTAAGTATAATATAATATTATAGATGCGAAAGTGAGTTTGTTTGTTGCGCTTCCGTGCCCTAATAGCTAAATCGAATATAATGAATTCCCATTTAGAAGTAGATGGGAACTTGTTTCTTAGCTACAACATCGCAATACTTATAGGCGTAGGGTGATGAAAGGGGTGATTTACCTAAAAAATCTACATTATTTACTTTGAATTTTGCAGAATTATTACAAAACCAATATTATCGCGAGCTGATTAATAAATACAGGGATTCCAATAAGTATGTACTTACTAGCGAAAAATGGGTTATTTGTCATTATATTAAGTAAACCTTTTTTGTAACATTAAGTAATATCGTTAAAAAAATGAAAAACAGTAAAATTCTGAGTTTTTCATTGAAATTCAATAATCATAATTACCTATTATGGTAATATATTTTTCATCATTTAATAAGAAGGAACTTTATCACAGTTTTATTGTAAGTAGTTCGTATAGGATCAGATACTGCGAATAGCCCTTTTTTTTCTTTTACTTAGTACACCGCGCTATCACTTTGTCATCGTTGTAACTTTTTAAATATTTGTCGAAATGACATAGTGTAAAAAGCAAAGTTTATCGTCTTTATCAAAAGCGATAAAAGTATTTGTTTTGATAAAAAATGATTTGTTAATACAAAATGTGCATTTTGGAAATAGATTTCCAAAAATAGATATCAAATAATATTTTAGTTTTGATTCACTATTTTAGCGGTAATGACTTACACATTAAAAATAGATATATTATATCTATTTTTAATGTGTAAGTCATTACCGCTAATATGGTGTCACGGACTTTTTTTTAGAACTATTTAAGAGATACATTTTCACTCTACATTACATTCATGTAACTTTTATTGTTTTTGCAGTGCAGGCCAAAATGGCTCGCAGATGGGAGATTTTTTATATATATTGGCCAATTCACTCAATAACTACATAAATTATTATATATATGTAATTATCATATATGAGCTATATTACTGTTAAGTTTCATTAAAATCCATTCAGTATTTTTTAGGTGAAAGAGTAACAAACATCCATACAAACGTAAGATTGAAATTAAAAGCGTAAGTGGTAAATATACAACTTTAAAGCTTTTTAGATCCTAAACAATCATATAAAATGAAAAATGGTGTTAGAAACCTAAATATAATTTTTGATTATCTAGACAGTGATACCCCACTCGACATATTTTGGAAACTTATTTTTTTTACTTCGTCACAATATGGCGCCTAATTTTGCCCATATTGAATTTTGATTACTATCATATCTTTAGTAGCACTCCCATGATTGAGACGAATCGATTGATGTATGAATCATCAAAATCGGTCCAGGCGTTTGGTCTCTAGTGTGCCACAAAGGAACAAACATACATATATAGACTGTTAAACACATAACCCTGTCTGCGCGTCGCGCTTCGCGCTCTTACATTGCGCAGCCGGGTAATAAGTATCCTACAAAGTATTAAGCTGCGTACGGATAGCGCGCTCCAGCAGTGCTATTCTGCAAGAACGAACTCAATTTTAACCGCCGAATCCACTGGTGTGATTTGAAATTTATTTGAAATTCGTGTTCTAATTTTATATCACATCGCGGATTCCATTGCGGATTGTCATTGTTTTTTTTCACCATTATGAAAAAAAAAACACAAAAATAAACTTAGGTCCGTAATTTTTTTTTTCTAACTTTTTTCATTTTTTTTGAGAAAAAATCTTTGGAATATACATTATTGCGTTAAAAATATTATGTAATCTTCAAGGCGCTCTGTTATGTAAGTTCTGCGTTCATAATTCAAACAAACATAAACCGAACGGGGAATTAAGGATTTTCCCGTACGTGTCAAGCTTGGAAACAAATTGGTTCTCAACGGAATGATTTGTTTACAATGGAATTTTCACGTGGCTCTTTAAACATAAACTTATTTAATTCTCAAAATGAAACTGTACCCTAGGGGTACAGTACTCCTAGCACGAACCATTATCGAATTCGAATAGTTTGCAAACCAAAATGACAATGTCAAATTTTGTATGGAAACTTGAACAGCAGCGGCACAAAGTGTGTAACGAGAACTAAAAATCAGTACAGATTTGACAATGACATTTCGGACTTGCAAACGTTACGAACCAAAATTGAATTGGTTCATGCTCAGGGTACAGTACCCTTAGCACGAACCATTATCGAATTCGAATAGTTTGCAAACCGAAATGTCAATGTCAAATTTTGTATGGAAACTTGAACAGCAGCGGCACAAAGTACGCAACGAGAACTAAAAATCAGTACACATTTGACAACGACATTTCGCACTCGCAAACGATACGAATTCGATATTGGTTCGTGCTAGAGGTACAGTACCCTTAGCACGAACCAAAATCGAATTCGTATCGTTTGCGAGTCCAAAATTATATTAGCATAATTGGTTAGTGCATTCGCCCGGATAGCGAAGGGTGCGGGTTCGAGTCCCGTTTGCTGCCTGGTCCGCGTGGAATTTTTTCTAGTTATATTTTCTTTAGATTTAAACATCAAGCAGTTACGTGCTTAAAATAAAAATTATCACTAAATGTTTTTTTTTAGATTGAAATAAAAACGCGCAGGCACAAATATGGCTTGCGACTGTGATTACGTGTTGGGAAAACACGATGTTACTGAAGAGCATTACAGCAATTGTAGCTCGTTGCTCAATGGACGGGAGAGCAAAAGGTAATATTAATATATATAGCTTCATACCTAACTAATATCTACTGGAACACAATGCCACCCAGGGTTGCAAGGTCTCCCGATTTTACGAGAGGTCTCCTGTACTGTTTTTCTTAGAATACTATTTTTTTATAATTGCATGTTGAGTTGCTTTTTTCGCCATTAAGAATGTGGGTAACCTTAATTATAGTAATACAACTGTTATTGTCTAAAAAACAAAACGAGTTGTCAGGGGCGGCAGAAGCCACAGAAACATTCGTTACTGGGGTATATCTTGACTGGGGTGCATATAAAAAGTACGCCTCTGTATGAAGTGTTTTTTCTTGTAACTCTTTCCATTTCATTCCATACATGCACTGTCATTTTCTATAACGCATCCCGATGTTTACTTAACTCGGACCTGGTAACACTGCTACCGCCAAGATGACTAGGTGTGGTTAAACTTAAGTTTGTATTTTACCAGATAAACAACATTCTCGGAATATGTAATCAACAGCGGCCTTATAAAACATATAAAGTTTTAATTGCATACCTTATATCCTTTAGATTTTATTGATATCTAAAATACCCTGATATCGTCAGTGAACCACCAAAATTCTCAGGATATTTCCGTCATATGGTCAACATTATACATTAAAATGATTTTGCTGGGCACCCCTTTTTTCAATACCTTCCTCGCAAGTATGATTTGAAAATATAGAGCTATATGAACGATATTATTAAGAATATGTGATTTAATATTTGGCATTATAGTATTTGAATCCCTTTGCCTTTTGTAATCTATGTTATTAAAAAAAAGGTATCTTCCTTCTGGTTTTTGCTGTACCCAAAAATGGTGTGTTGTGCAGTGTTTCCACAATGAGGGGAAATCCCCCTTTTAAGGGGAAATTAGGATCCAGAGGGGAAGCAAAAGGGGACAGACATAAAAAGGGGAAATTGCGGGAAATTATGGGTAAAGCCTAGCCTAAAATAATGCGGCACGGAACAAATTTTTTATGGACTTTATCGTGGACTAGAGTGTTGCCGTATAAAAGAAAATGTGGCAACACGTGCAGATTTTATATATTTCATTTATCTGTTATAGAATAAGATAGATTAAGACCTAACACTATATCAGAATATTTTTTGAGGGGAAAAATGTCCTAAGAAGGGGAAGTCTGAATTGAGGCGTGGGGAAAGGAAATCATTAAAGTGGAAACACTGGTGTTGTGCTTTAAAGTAAAAGAGTTGTAATGATAACATAAAGGAAAATAAAGTATTTAAAGAAGAAAAGCCGCATTTAATATTTTCTGCCATTATCCTAACATGGTAGCAGAGGTAAGCGGTTAGTTAGTTTGTTATGAAGAGTGCGTTAAATTGCACACAATGGCGGAAAAAGATTTTACATTGCAAGTTTTTGATGGCTCTAATTATACAAAATGGAAGTTTCGATTAAAACTGTATTTAGAAATGAAAAATTGTTTGGAAGTAATAACATCCGAAAAACAAGAAAATGTGTCTGCGGAAAATTGGTCAAAAATGGACATCAAGGCTCGAAATTATATTGTAAACAGCATAAATGATTCCCAATTGGAACTTATTATTTCAGAAACTGGTGTCAAACAAATGATTAAAAAACTTGACGATACATATGAAACAAAAAGTTGTGCAAGTAAATTAATATGTAAACGGAAACTACTAGAGTTAAAAATGGCGGATGATGCCAACCCCACCGATTTCTTTAACACTTTTGAGAAGCACATCAACGAATTAAAACAATCGGGAGAAGAAGTTTCTACAGAGGATAAATTAAATTACTTATTGTTGTGTTTGCCTGAAGGATGTTCACATCTTATAGATATTGTTGATGCACTACCTGATAAAGATAAATCAGTGGAATACATTAAATCAAAATTAATATTAGAATATAAAAAGAGAGAGAGTGCTCAGAGTTCTTCAAAAGTGGAGTCCTTCAATATACAGTCTTCCAAGTTGCCCAACAATCAAGTTATTGGAATGCAAAACAATAATGATTATATATGTTACGGGTGCAAGAAACCTGGTCATATCCTGAAATATTGCCCAATTAATAAGAACTACAGAGGTAGAGGTAATTGGCGAGGTAGACGAAATTGGAGAGGTAGAGGAAATAATTTCAGAGAAAGAGGAAGGACAGGGAATATGGCAAATGTATCTCAAATCGACAACCAATCATTTAATGTGGAAGTAATGACATCGGAGGACATACGTCTTGGAAAAATAAATTGCTTAGAAGTGACGTCACCGGCCACCACTCTCAAAGTTTGATGCACTTGATTTTTATAATCTTTTGGTTGATTGAAAAAGAAAAAATAAGTGTCCATTGTTTTTTGACATTCTAACGGACGGACTAAATTAATAGAGTTTCGTTTATTTAACCCCGTCATCGTTCCTAATATTACAACACTATACCACCAAGATTTAAATCGCCTCCTTCCTACACTATTGCACTCTTAACAGAGCGGTCGTGGTCATGTCTCAGTCGATTCCTGTGCCACTGATGCAATCGCGATGCGTCGCCATGCAGCTCGATATTTTGCAGAGCAAGAGCAATCATTTACGCTAGAGTGCATCGCCGAATTCGATCGAATCGTCTACACTTCGATAGGGTAACGGCACCAGTGGTCAGCCAGGAACCAGTGGTCAGCCCTTTGCGTCGTTTATTAGTCATAAATATCACAACAATTACAATAAACGAAGCACGTGTACTTAAACAGAAACTTTGATTCCTCATTGGTCAAAGCCTCAAGATAGCGAGACGATTAGAGTTGAGAATAGAGTTGGTCAACGTTTTTTGATCTGTAGTTCATTAAGTGAGAATTATAAAATTCGTCCGTCATTTTATATTCAAATGGGTAGGTTAGGGTAGGATAAATACAGGCCAAATCTGTTTGTTTTACACATTGCTGGTGGGCCAGTAAGTGCTCTTTACAATCCCTAGGTATTGTATAGAATAGACGCGGTGAAGTCCCACAACGTGGATCTCGCGATTCCACACTTAACAGCGTAGAGGGTATTCGCAGGGTTTTTTGGCGGATAGTATGCCGTAAGCCGCGCGGACTGCTTAACGGCTTCTCCGTTTCGCACCCGTGGGACTTGCGAGAGTCTAGGTATGAGGTCCGTTCGTTGCTGTGCCCCTTAAGGGCGGCAACATCTGTAGATAGAGGTTTTGCCTGCGTAAAAGGTATTGTATAGAATACCTGAATTATACATATAGCCGGTGACATATATTCATATTTAAATACAAAGATTTTTTTACTAGAAAAATATTCACGCGGACCAGGCAGCAGACGGGACTCGAACCCGCACCCTTCGCTATCCGGGCGCATGCACTGACCAACTATGCTACCGCGACCCTAATGGGCGTGGCGAATTTCCTCTAGTATTTCTTAGGCTGCAAGTCTGGGTTCGAGTCTCATCTGCTGCCTGATCCGCTTGAAATTTTTTGAAATTCCGCTTGAAAAGGCCACAGTAAGTCGGTGGCAACGAAGGCCACCGCGCGTGGTCCTCTGAAGAAAAGGTGATGGAGGGATAAGGGAGAATAACTCCTCAGAACACTCGCCGTGGTATAGACGATAAAATGCGCTTAATGATGCCACATCGCGGCGTAATTGTAAAAAATATAAAAAAGAATTAAATAAAGTACTTTAATATTTAAATCAGTTAATAAATTCATAAATAGACAATAAAGTATTAAAAATCTTCCAATATATAAATATACGAACGCTCAATAAAAATCTTTCGAAGGTAGGGCTCGACAAAGTAAATAACAAACGAGCGAGCCTTACAGTAGTCGCGTATGATGTGTAACATTTGAAACCTCACCTTATATTAGTAAAAAAAGAAATAAAACCTACTACAAAAGGAATAAGCCATTTGAACATTGTTCTAAAATCAAATCAAATAGCGCTCGCTTTCGCGACTTCCTGTTACACACTTCCGTCCCATTTTATGAAATCAGTCCCACAAATTGCAGGAAAACGAGAGGAAAGATGTTACACATCAAAAATCATTATTTCGACGTCGCATTCCTGCAAAGGATGCGAAACGTCAATAAAAAAATATCAATGCATCTAACCCGTTGAAACTTGTTTTATTTAATGTGTATTTTTAATCATTTCCTGATATTGCTGTTTTCAACGTGACCCTTTATTTTTACGGGCAAGTGTTAAGCCGGGTCTCCAGCGCGTGTTTTCGCAACAAAACTGTCAACACTAAACTTTATTTCACAACACATATATTATTTGTTTACAATAACAAAGTTTTTGCTTGCCAAGCCCAAGGAAAACACGTACACAAATCACCCCCACGCGGGTCGAAGGGCAGGGTATAGTTTCACCGTATTTTTATTGACCACTCGCTAAGGGAGCTGCTTTTTAAACCTACGCTGCGAGTGCAATTTTTCACTCTGACGTTTCAATTTTGATATAATATGTATGAAAATTTGTCAAATTTGACATTTGTTGCACCTAAATTGTAGGTTTGTAACCTAACCTTCTGTATTTTGTGTACCACAGTCACGTGAGAAGTAGACGGCATGTGTAGAGAAACATGTTTCAGAAACAAAGTTTTGTGTATGTGTTTTTGATAAATAATTTCAAAAAACTTTTGCTGGGGACCCGAGTTCAGGTAGATACTGTTTACATCTAAACTGCAAATCACGAAGAAATTTCCATTGAATGCACTTTACTTTGTTAATAAAAACATTATATAAAGAATTCCATATTTCTGATACGTATTCAAGGATGCTACGTAGTAATGAACGTAAAGTTCTTATAAGGAAGAAATCTTCCTTTTGGCGAAGTTCATACATAGGTACACTTGCGTTATTTATTTCGAATTCGATTTGAAATAATTATGGCGGACTATATTATGGTGTTAAGGTATACATTGGGACAGTTAGTTCAATGGGCTATTGCGTATTATAGAAAATATAACAGATTTGCTAAAGTACTAAATTGACTAACATTTGAAATCGTTATTACTGCATAGTCAAATTATTTTATTTATTTTAATCAAAGTGACTTAGAGATGTCTTCATCGCCAGCTGTCAAATATTTTTGTACATCCTGTTTAAGTGAAGTATGAAATTGCAGGAACGCCGATGGCACCCTAAATTTGCCGAACAAAAACCTGTCGAAGATGGATGTTGATTTCCTGTACCATTTGTCGATCGACACTGCGAATTTCGACTTGCCCGCCATGTTTGGAGATGTGAAGGTAAATATCTACTCATAAATGTTATAAGTTTATTATATTTTTTATTTTAAGTATTAAATGTCTTAAATAATAATCTTAAGATTTTTTTACTGGTAACTGCTTGGTCCATGCGTCAGACTATCCAGTCTGACGCATGGACCAAGAAGTTCCAGAAGGAAACCGGTTAAGCAAAGTAATCCTACTTTGCTTAACCGGTTTCCTTCTGCTGCCCGGGCGGATGTAGTTGCTAACCGCTATGCTACAGAGACCTTAATCGCAGTGTCGAATTTGTTCTAGTTTAAAAGGTTTTGATAAACCTGATATTTTCAAAACATTTGATATACGGAAGAGCCGTGATATTTTCCAGAACGATAGATAAAGTTATGATAATCTAGTTTATTATATATTTTTGAAGTTATACTTCTTTAGGCGCGTTATGAAAAAATGATGAGAGTGAAATTTTAAGATGCGCGCGCATCACTGTAACACAAAAAATTAACTTACTTATGTGTGTCTTTGAGCCGCGTGACGCTCGGCATCCAAGGCTTGGCGAGCTTGGGTCTGCTGAGAGGTCTCTGCAGCTCTTTGAGCCGCGTGACGCTCGGCATCCAAGACTTGGCGAGCTTGGGTCTGCTGAGAGGTCTCTGCAGCTCTTTGAGCCGCATGACGCTCGGCATCCAAGACTTGGCGAGCTTGGGTCTGCTGGGAGGTCTCTGCAGCTCTTTCACCCGCGTGACGCTCGGCATCCAAGACTTGGCGAGCTTGCGTCTGCTGAGAGGTCTCTGCAGCCCTTTGTGCAGCATGACGATCAGCGTCTAAATTATGACGGGTCTGCGTTTGCTCAAATGTTTCAGCAGCCCTTTGGGTTGCGTGACGCTCGGCATCTAAAGTCCGACGGATCTGTGAATCCTTTTCCGATTCCAGTGATCTAGCAAGTTTAGCAGCCCAAGCTCTGCTAGAGCTATTAGCTAAATTGGACTTTCGTTTGCGAGTCATCGTAGAAAAACAAAAATAAAATGAATCGAACTAAACAGATGTACAGATTGAGATTTATTATCATAAAATAAAACTTTTTATAAGCAGCTACGTAGTAAAAATGATGCATTCACCGCAAGGCGATGTGTTTAAGTCACGTTTAAATGGAAAAAAGAAACTAAGAAATTAAATTATCAATACTTATTTACAACCAATGCATAAAAAGATTAGGAGGAAAGTAGGTTAGGTTAGTTTTACACATACTATTACTTATTAGATTAATTCAAAAAAGGAAATAAAAGCAAATCGGATTTTTTTAAAGTAACGGAAACAATCTTACCTACTATTAACTATGAACTCAAAGATCCCGAAATATTAAGTATGTACAAAATTAATTTAAAATTATACGAAACAATAAAATTATTTTACTGGATCAAAAAATGTAATTCTCTGTAGCGCAAATTTCTCATGCGTCCGACAACGACGTCTGCCCTCATGTGTCTGCCCGTTCGTAGTGTTGAGTAGGACTAACAAGAGGCGGTACATTTGTCCCGGACATGACGTCAAAATGTAAGAGCGGCTCAAAATTTTAAAATGTACTACTTCACATTAAATGTCGCGATAGTCGCGTCTCGTTACTCACTCACTTTTCGTAAGTCTGAGAGAGAGCGAGGCATGACATTTCATTTAAGTCCTCTACGCACTATCCATCTGTATCTCTATCTCTCCTTCCTAAGGGTGCGGCCAGAGTGCACTCAGATTCAGATTCAGATTTCGAAAACAAGCGCGAGAAATAAACAGTGTAGTCTAAGCAGGTTGCCTGCTTTTTCTCGCGCTTTGTTTTCTGAGTCTGAATCTGAATCGGAATCAGGAGTGCACTCTGGCCGTACCCTTCGACTACACTGTTTATTTCTCGCGCTTGTTTTCAGAATCTGAATCTGAATCTGAGTGCACTCTGGCCGCACCCTAATCCTTGTCACTCGCACTGGGTTGCGTACAAAACCTACGCTCTAGGTGCAACAAATATCTAAGTTGACATTAGCTTCATATATTTTATGTCAAAATTTAAACGTCAGGGTAAAAGTTGCACTCAGAGCGTAGGTATTGAACGCAGCGCAGGGTTGCGTTCAGAACTTACGCTCCAGGTGCTACTCGTGCACACAAACGTAACGTCGAGCTTCTGTACGCCTCAATGTCATATTTGTACTCGTCACTTCAAACGTATTGCCGAGCTTCAGTACGCCTCGCCTCATTTGAAGTGGGACATTGTACTGGTTCAGTACAAAAAAGAGGCTACTCTTACAAACTCTTTTTCAAGTCGTGTCCTACCCAACACTACCCGTTCGGGTAGGCATAGTGAGATTCGTGCGCTCCCCCACCACACGACAGCGCCGTTGCCTGCCACCACACTTCGGCGAATGTGCGCGACGACGTCCAACGACCGACGGCAGCGGCGGCGATGCAGAGTTTCGTTAAAAGGAACTTTAACTTCAAAAGCCAAATTTTTTTTTAACTTGATACACCCAAAACTTCTAAATATCATGTTCCTAGGTTCAGTGGTTAAGATTTTGTATACAAAAAGTTTGGCTTCGTAGTTCCCAATGCCATACAACTTTTCACCCCCCCTTTTTAACCCCTTACAACCCCCTTTTCGCAATAAAAAGTAGCCTATGTCCTTTCTCAGGGTCTAGACCATCTGTATACCAAATTTCATTCAAATCCGTTCAGTAGTTTTGGCGTGAAAGAGTAACAGACAGACAGAGTTACTTTCGCATTTATAATATTAATAATAAGCCCGGATGGGTAAAATTTCTTTTACATATATATCTTATTTTCGAGGAGGAATTCGTCGAGAGCCAAACCTCGAATTTTGCAATTTTTATACGCAAATTTCAGCGTTAACTATCGCACGGTATTTGCCAATGCTTGATAGCAATAGTTTTTTCAATTACCTATTTCTCAACTGTCTCTCAGATCGCGTCCGCTCTTAACTGCTAGATGTTTAAATCTAAATAAAAAAATTCCACGCGCTTCTTCTGGCAGCAGACGGAACTGCAACCTGCACCCTTCGCTATCCGGGCAATTGCACTGACGAATTATGCTACCGCGACTTGAATGACCGTGTCGAATTTCCTCTAGTATTCTTCTAGTATCCTCTAGCTTAGACTGCAAGGCCGATAATCTATTTCGAATTGCTTAACTATAAGACGCTATTATTAAGATAACACGGCATTTTACTGAGAACATAGAACTGCATCTTAATCCTTTTTGTAATGCCCTTCACTTGGCTATTTGTATTTGCTATTTGTATACTCAACACAGTCTGCCCTTATCATGCCTTATAAGGAATAGAAAGGGCATCCCGATGTGAAGTTTACAAATAGCAAACACGAATAGTTGATGGGCTTCCATAATATAATAATAATCCATACTGATGTTGCAGAGATCATCAATAACATCAGTATGATAATATAACTAAAATAATCAGTTAGTTATATAGAATAACATTCTGCTTTGTAAATAAAACACTGTTCCAACGGGTTTAAGATGCATTTTTCAATACTTTTATACATCTCTACGTTACGGATCCTTCAGGCTCCGTTCTCAAGAGCATCTCACTGTTCTCCCGTTAAAACTGTTTTATTCTACTTTATACTTCAGTTCGTCGTCATGGGAGGTACGAAGCATCGGATGAGAGAGTTTGCGTGCTACATAGCAACCATCCTAGGATTGCCTCAAGACTCGAAACCGGTGAACTTAACCAAAGCCTCGCAGAGATACGCCATGTACAAAGTGGGTCCGGTACTGTCGGTTAACGTAAGTTGTTAATTTGTCAATATTTTTAGGTTACGTGAAAAAAGTGTGAATACAAAAGTTGTAGATCTTTTGATTTTCTATAATTTTGCCATTGATCGATAAAAGTTGTAGTTTTCCCGTTGAAACCGCGATGAACCCTTTCTGACCTCAAATCACTCTTAATTTACATTTCCTCTTTTTTAATGTGTTCTGACTTTAGGTCCTGTTCCGATTTTTTTTGTTCTAATAATTATTGGCCCTGATCCATAGGGATAACTTTTAGGCGTCTGCCATTGTAATACTTGCTAACATTTCAAGGCTGCTGAATTGTATGTAGTACTATACTGTCTGATTTTCTTGTTAAGCCCTTTGAAACTTAATTATGACCCCCATCAACTGGACGTTTCGTGTTCTATCTTCATTCGAGACACGCGTTTCGTTTTCTTGCGTTCCAGCAAGATCTGGAACGAAATTCCCCTAGCGGATTTTCCTTTCAGCTATGATATGGTGGTCTTCGAAAGGCAGGTAACCCATTTCCTTCAGAGCTGGCAACGCATGAGTACTCTTGGTGCAGCAAGTGTCCATGGGTAGTAGTGACTTTCTACCAGGTGGAATGTCCCCTTCGGCCGTTTTCGAAAAAGGTATTTAATCCTTCTTTCGAAACTGGTTTCGAAAATAGTTTCGTAAAAATATGAATAATTCTTGCATCGAAACTCAGTGATTAATTATACAATCTCATTACATTTTCATTTTAAGGATTGCTTGATTCATTTTGGTAAAAAAATGTAAAAATAGGGTCACGTAGTATGGATAAGTTCCCTTATGATGTTCGATTATTAGGATGGAACGTTACGCCATTATTATATTTTTTCTTAAATTGGTGTTTTTTGTACCGGTTTCGAAAAGATAAACATATTGTTTTTAGCAACCGGTTTCAAAAGCAGAAATATTTTTCATTTTATGGAACCAGTTTTGAAAGAAGAATTAGATTTCTTCTCTCGAAACTGGTTTCGTAAACGGCCGAACGGGGACTGTCAGCTCTTTTGCCTGCATAAACCATTTTTTTTTTCAATGTGTGACTTGTCTAACATATGGTTGAGCAAGGTGTTGGCTGGAATTTTATGCGACATGCTCGTAAACGGGTGCTGACAGCGGAGATGAGTCCGCTCTATACTATAACTATTGAAATAAATATCTAGAATTAATATAAATCAAAGGATTTGTATTTATACTACAATGAAAATGCCGATGCAAATTTATTATTGTCCAATTCCCTTAATAAGTAATGAAAGGTATCTTCATGAATCATGTCTGTTGCTATCTGGGACATTATCAACAAGTGGCGGGACACACCTTTTTTTACAGTTCTGATATACTATCAAGGACTTTACCAAAAAGTCGTCGTTTAAGACAGGTCTGAAATATTCTTCGAAAATATTCTTCGAAAATCATGGCTATTATTCTATGGAACCTATTCATTAGTTCATCTTTTTATAACCTCTTCTAGGTAGATATCCTGTACTTACCAAAGACTGGAGCCAATTATCGCTATTCAGTTCAGAGAGCAAGGTTACCAGGATTACAGCTCATGAGTAAAAAGGCACTGAGACCAAGCTTCATACATAAGAGATGATGACTAACTTTTTTTTCTTACTCTGTCAAGTTTGCTGTCAGGTAGATTATTAAAAAGTATTGGATACGCATTTTTTCTTTATTAACTAAAAACTAACTAAAAGTATTTATAGTGTAAACCTATTAAATTTTAGAACTATGAAAGAAAACAAGACTTATCTTAAGTGGGGATTATCCCATATATACAAATCTTATATACACACATCAAAAGTGTCTAGGGATCAACATATATTTTTGCAATAACTTTTCTCCTGATTGATATTAATTAAAATTTTCTTTAAGGATTCATCAAATAAAGTGTTTTCGTTTGTCACAGTAACGATAAACCAAGTCACCTTTGCATTAATAAAGAAATTTGCCATTTTCCTAATAAAGGGATTTTTGACATTTGAACCACTAACACAAAAGTTCGAAAAAAAGACTGAAATAACAGTTTTCTCTAAAATTTTATTGGGTAACTTAAACAATTAATAATCCGTATTTCTACCGCGAACACTAACAACACAAGAACATCGGTTTGGCATACTCAAAATGAGTTCATCCAAATCACGCTGTGGAATGGCCGCCCATGTTCGTTGCAACAACAAAAAAAGGTCTTCTTGCGACTGGATACCCTCCATATTCGGCAGAGCTCTTCTCTGTAGCATATCCCATGCATGCTCAATCGGGTTCAAGTCTGGCGACTGAGCAGGCCAGGGCAGGACATTGATGTTAGCTGCGGCGAGAGTCTGTCTTACAACTCTTGCGGTGTGCGGTCGTGCATTATCATGCATTAACTGAAATAAGGGACCGATTTGCACTTGTAGAGGAACGATGACGTCTGATACAATCGTCTCAGCATAAATTTGAGCGTTGAGGTTGCCTCTGATCCAAATCAACTCAGTTCTTCCGCCGATCCAAATACCCGCCCATACCATGATGGTTCCACCACTATAAGGATGGACTTCCTGGCCGGATTTTAATCGCTGTTGGCGTCCAGGGGTTCTCCAGTGTCGTATACGTCTTGTATCCGGTCTCATACCAAAACGAGACTCATCAGAAAAGCACACGAAACGCCATTGTTCTTCTGCCCAATTTCTGTGTTCAAGAGCCCATTGATATCGAATCCTACGATTGTGCATTGCTATAGGTGGTACCCGTAGCGGTCTTCGGGAATGAAGGTTCACTTCATGCAAGCGGTTTCTGACTGTTTGGTCGCTAATTAAGTTCCCTGAAGAGTGATGAAGCCTCACGGCTAACATCATGGCGGTTATTGTTGGAGCTCTTCGAGTTAAGATTTGAATGTATCGGTCTTGTCTCCGTGTGGTGCAGCGATACCGTCCTCCATGGCGCTCAGCCACGGTACCAGTGCTTCGGTATCGTGTCCAAAATCGACTGATAACACTCTGACTTGTATTCAGAGCTAAAGCCACAGTACGTTGCCGGGAACCAGCTTCTATCATTCCCACGGCTCTGAGCATTTCTTCCCTGCTTAAATGACGTCGCCGCTCCATAATAACGTTGGTTTTAATCAGTAGTAGGGAAACAGTAGCACTAATAATGTCTTCAATGCGTTGTATGTTTTTATAGGGAAAATATTGACAGCTGATTTTCATCTTTTACTCGAATTTGATTCACAGTTCCTGATTCAAATTATGAAATGCACCAAAAAGGATCCATATAAATTTATAAAATCATAAATTTATTACAAAGCCACATCTCAATCTCAAGAAATCCGCATAAAAATGCTTGATCCCTAGACACTTTTGATGTGTGTATAAGGAACAATGGTATGCTGCCAGCCTATTGGGCACCATTCCTGACGGCGGCGCTGGGGGTGATATATTTTTTATTTTGTAAATTGTATATTATTTAAGTTCTTAGTTATTTCTAGTTTTTATGTTTTTAGACATAAGGTAGTTTCAACATATAAATATATATTTATATGTCACTTACTATTATCATGCTTAGGAACAATGGCATTTATAAGTTAATTCAAAAAAACAATAGTATTAAACTGGCAGCCTGTATATATATATGTAACAATAAATGTCTATTTGTTTTCACACACTGCTTGATTCGCAGACCAGCAACATTTGCACGAGAAAAATGTCAAATATTTCTAAGCTCTCTGTGGCGGCATTTGATAATTATTGTACACAGAGCTAAAATCTAAGAACCTTATGGTTGGACTATTCAATGCGGGATCCCTCGGCACGGGACATGATGAGTTGACTCTGTGGTCATGGAAGAGTTAGACCTGGACATTTTAGCCATCAATGAAACCTGGTTGAGGGCTGGGGAGGACGACAGGGCGCCGAGGCTCACGGGGTATCGTCTGAGACATACCCCTAGGCCGAATAGTGTGCGCGGTGGTCGTGGCGGCGGGGTTGGATTCTCCGTCCGTAGGAGTATTAATGCACGTCTCTGTCAGCATCCAGCGGACTCTGCGGTTGAACAGATGTGGTCGAAGGTGCGCATTAATAATCAAAGAGTTCTGATTGGGACTGCCTACAGACCGCCCTGGCAGGATGTGGAGATATTTTTAGATGCCCTTGCAGACTCTATTTCCTCTTTCTCTAGTAGAGATGCGTTAATATTGCTTGGAGACTTCAACATTCACATATTGGACTCAGCGAGTGCTAAGTCAAAATTACTAACGCAATTCTTGCACAGTGTTGACTTAAAACAATCAGTTACAGAACCTACGTTATTACTAAGTTAAAGTCATTACTAAGCACATTCCTGACCTTGGGGCGTATGCAATTATTTCAGCAGAATTTAAATTAAAAAAAGTACAGCCATCTCCCCAATGGGTAATTTACAGACCTTTAACGCTTGCATACCGAACTGGATCAAACTATACTCATATGAGGACTGCATTAAAAAATATAACATTCTCCCGCTTAGGTATCGTCGACAGCAGTTCGACCAAATGTTTTTGTATAAATTATTAAATAACTTTATTGATTCCCCTAACTTGCTTCAAAAAATTAAATTTCAAATTCCCACAAAAAGTGTTCGTCGCACCAACCGGTTATTTGCCATTCCCAGATCTAACAAAAAATATACAGCAAACGCATATTTACAACGAAGTTTGACCGCATATAATACATCATTTGCAAATATTGACCATTTCTCAAATAGTGTAAACCAATTTAAGCAAAAGGTATTTAATTGTTTGTTCTCTATAATTTAGGTATATTTTACTTACTGCGAACTAAAGCTATTGTGAATATCAAAAGCAATGTCAATTTAGAATTTTGTTTTGTTTTTCATAACATTATATAATCTTAGCGTTCTGTGTTGTGTTATATTGAAGAACCAACTGTCTATTAATTAGCACTTCAATCCTTAAGTTTTTTTTGTTCCTCTTAAGTATATTTAGACTTATGTGTTGGCACTCAAGG